ACTATATCTCGCCAGATTACAGCAACAACAGCCGTTTTCCAGAGTTCAAATCAAAGCGTTTGTAGATTGCTTCTTTCCTCATCAGGAGAAGGGATCTACACCGCTTCATAAACAGGCACTCAGAGGAGAACTGTGCCCTCTGAGAATGCCAGAGAACATAGCAGCGGTCATTTACCAATGCTTGATAAATGTACATCAAAGAAGGTAACTTACGTGATCCAAATAGTTTGACTATGTAGCAAATTTTATTAAAGAACCATAAAATAATGAACAGAATGAAAAAGATTTTTTCATACAAAAATATATATACCTCCACCCAACAACATTAAAAATTTTACAACATTGTCAATTTAAAATCATGGAGTTTGGACTATAAATGATTTAGGAATAATGTCTGACCATCAGCAGTTCCATGTCTTAAATTTCACAGACCTCCACTCAAAGCTGAGCATAAAAGATTGAAACAGGCCCGTTTCACCACCATTCATGACAATAAAACACCAGACATCAGGTCGCAGTGCCAAGGACCCCATGATTGTGGAAGCTACTGTCACAGTGACTACTGGAAAGCCCTCTTTGCACATGTGCGGCCCTTTTGCTGTAACGGAGGAAGCGGTGTGAGACTGGGAAGGAGAGCGGCGTTGTGTTTGGCCACAGAAGGACGATGCATCTATCTTACAGTGTCTGAACTCAGGGCGACTGAAGCCACCTGGACATGAGTTGGAGACATGGATCTTGTAATGCCAGAAGGCTTCATTTGACAGGATGACAGGGCATCTTTCTACACTGTCTGAACTGTCAGAGTGTATGTCCATGCTCACTGGGAAGAAGCACCAAGCCTCAGGCACATATAGTGTGCGGCTCTAAGTGAATCTGCAGTCAGTAAGCTATCAGTGAGACCCCTCACATTGTAGAGACATTTATTGTGTGTGATTTAAATCCAAAAGCCACCCACTGCGCTGCAAGTTAACTGCAATTACTCAGCTTTCAGTCCTGCTCAGGGGCAGACTGACCATTTGGAAACTCGGGCACTGCCCGAGGGCCTGGGGTCAGTAGGGGGCCCCATGAGATGCCCCTGGTACCTTTTTCATAGGCTTTTGTGAGTTTGGGCAAGGACACAAGGGCCCCATGATCCCCTATTGCCCAGGGGCCCCATGAGTTGTCAGTCCGCCCCTGATCCTGCTCCTGCCATTGTCAAGTTTCCCCTTTGCATAATCACTGCTGTTGGATACATTATACAAGTTGCTTTGCATCAATTAGGTTTAGGTGTATACAGTGTTGCAAAGAACTTGCCATCTTCAGCATTATGTCTTGTCATTTCCCTCCTTCTCAGTGGATACATTGTTCAATCCTTTATGCTCAGATTTGAGTGGAGGTCAAATTTTAATGGTGATGGGTGGAGATATATATATTTTTGTATGAAAAATCTTTTTCATTCTGTTTATTACTTTATGGTTCTTTAATAAAATGTGCTACATAGTCAAACTATTTGGATCACGTAAGTAGGGTTTTTTCTCTAAAATTTATTAACCCCTTCACACCTACCATACACAAATTAGCAGCCCCACTGGACTGGGCTTTTTTCTGTGGGGCCGCTAATTTGTGTACCTGTCTTTGTGCGGCATTCTCCCAGCACAGAGATCAGGGTCTCACTGAGAGCCCAGGGTCCCGTGGTAATGATTGGGACCCAGAACTCCAGATTCTGGGTCACCTGATCGCTGTGATAACCTCTGATTGGCTATTTCAGAGAGCAGTCACTGTTAAGTCCGCCCCGTGTTTTCTCTCTCTGAATAGAGGAGAGAGATACATTGCATCTCTCTGTTCTTTCAGAGAGAAAAAAAAAGTGTGTAAAAATAAATAAATAAATAAATAAAAATGTAAATAAAAACATAAAAAAAAATACCTAGATCAAGGTTTGGTTTAGGTCAGTGCCAGGGTTAGTGTTTGGGTCAAGGACAGGGTCAAAGGTGAAGGGTATTTTTTTGGGGTCAGGATTTTAATTTTAATTTTTAAATTGGTATCAGTGTTAGTTAGAATCAGTGTCAGTGTATAGGATACAGGATGTACAGGTTAAAAAAAAAAGCAAAAATGTGCACTGTTTTTTTAGGCCATACTATGGGTACTAACAACAACTAACATACACATATGTGGTATCACTGCGATTGTCAGGAGCAGGAGAATTTATTTTGATGCTGTTCTACTCAAAACAAATCCAAATAAAATAAAAACAATAAACATCACACACATACAGTATAGATAACCAAACCTTCAGTGACAATGCAAAATTAAATAAATGTAAAAATTTAAAGTAAAAGCCTGGCTGAGCACCTCTCCTAAAAATTAAATATGTGACTACACAGTACTAATCAAAATCATCAGTGAATTAAAATACAGCATACTAAAAAAAAACATATAGATCATCATATAGAGCACCTCTCCTCAAAAGGAAAGGCAGTGAGAGTAACTGAATAAATATTGGTAGTGCTTGGGTTCAACGTGAAATCTTCAATATAAAAAGTATAAATGAGTAAACATCCACTGAGCACTCTGCATAAGTTGAAATAAGTGCAAAAACTTTAACAGGGTAAAGTCCCAATAAAGTGTGATGTGTCACAAAAATCTTCAATATTCAATGAATCCACCAGAGAACACCGCTTGTGATCCTCCACCAGCTAGCATGCATGCTTACCTCCAACTCTGACTTATATGTTAACTAGGTCAAAAATGCATTTGGTCAACTTTCACCAACAGCTGTCTCGGATGTCACCTCCTCTTGTGATGCTTCAAACAACTGTGATTTATGCTCAAAAGAATAAATCAAAAGGAGCTTCCCATAGAGTAATATGTTCTTGCTTTAATAAATTTAAGCCAGATAAAAACTACTCACATTTAAAAAATAGGGTCCACTAACCCTTACAACATATGTCAGATATATAGGGATGGGTGTACCAAGATGGCAGCTGCTGTCCGAAACCAAAAATGACATCACCACACTTAAAACACCTCTGACTGTAGCTCTGTGGGTAAATGCACCCTTCTAGTAAGCAAGAGTTTGTGAGTACAAATCATGGGTTGGCCTTGCTAAGTTTGTGCTTGGTTGGGATCAAACTGGGTGCGGCAAGAAACATGCCGAACAAGTGTGGGGCAGAAGTGTGGTGATGTCATTTCCGGTTTTGGATGGCAGCCGCCTTCTTAGTACACATTTTCAAATTTGAATAGTTTTTATCCGGCTTATATTTATTAACCGATTTAGCTATGCCCTGGAGCAGGATTACTGCTACAGGGCAGACTCCCTGCTCAAAATCACGTACATATATATATATATATGTGATCCGTGCTCCCGCTGTGATTGCGGGCCGGGGGTGCGTGCACCCGCCGACCCCGCGGTGCCATGATTTGGTGCTACACCAATCAATCAGCAGATTCAGGCCAATGATATTCAGTCTGGATCTGCTGATTGATCACTGCCCTATCAGAGATCTTCCTGTACCTGTGTTCACAGGACACAGGCACAGGAAATGATGCAATCTTCTCTCCCTGGGTACATTCAGTTCCAGAGAGAGAATAAAGCAGATATATGTGAGTAAAAACAGCACACTTTTACAGTAAAAGCAAAGCTAGGTCACATTTAACCCCCTGATCACGCCCAGTTAACCCTTTCATTGCCCTGTCACCAGTGTCATTAGTACAGTGTACAGATTGTTTTTACTGATCTTTGTATTAGTGTCACAAGCGACTTCAGATAGCATTAGCATGAGTTAGCATCAGTTAGCATCCCTCCCAGATAGAGTTAGATTGCCCGCCACTACATCAGTCACATTTAACCCTTTGATTGCCAGGAACATGCTCACATACACAATAAACCTCTATTGCTAGTTTAGTGTCTGAACGGATCAATATCCTTGATCAGATCAGCACTATACCAGTGTTCACAATAGTATAGTGTCCCCAAAAACGCAATGTCAGCAGGATCAGCCACCTGCCAGCACCTGCGTTTAGCCCCTATGCTTAAACCCCCCCCCTTTTCCCCCAGCAAGTGCAGTGTCAGGTAGATCATTGTCACAAGATACATTGCACTCAAAACTGCATTGTTAGCAGAATCAGGCCTGACCTCTGCTAACACTTGCAGGTTAATTTTTTTGTAGGGGCTCAAGCAGTCCCTGACAGCCAGGTGCTCTTTTTCCCGTGAGTCGCACTGTGTACCTATAAATCATCAAAGGGGATAAGCTTATCCCCTTTGATGATGTGCGATTAGCACGAAACGCGTCAGTGAAGGAGCTGCAGCGTCACGACCTTTTGCCGCGTGCACCACGGAGGTCCCGGCGGCCATCTTTTAACCTACCTCATGGTCAGTGTCATTTTGATTCCTTTACCTCATGTTATACTGCATTGAATAAAAATTCATTCCTCAAAACGGTATCACGCTATTGGTCTCCTTTTCTTTTGCCCCTTGGTGAGTCACTTATCACCCATAGAGCCATTTAAAGGGGAGACCGAGGATTATCAGCAACATTCAGCAGAGGGAGGAATACCTGGCCTGACCTAATCCAAATCCTTAGGGGACATCAGTGGATCCAGTAGAGAGACTTGTTTCTAAATGCGCAGTTACACTGTGCATCTGGTGAGTGCACAACCTTTACCCTTCTCACCATCACCGTGTGGAAGAAGCACTCTGAAGGAGAGGGATTGTCACTAAGACTATTAATTTTGCACTGCATGTCACTTTGCTTGTGACAAAATGTTTGTGATCACATAAGTCACTTGATTTATATTCACCATATCAGTATCTTGGACGTTTTTTATATTAATATCTGTGATATAGCGCCGCATCTTTTATACTCTAGGTTAATTTTTTTGCAGGGGTTCAAGCAGTCCCTGACAGCCAGGTGCTCTTTTTCCCATGAGTCGCACTACGCGGAATAAAATTCGATTCGAGTCGAATATATTCGCTGCGAATTTAACATATAAAAAGGGTGTTTCTCTAGGCTTCAGAGAGCCTTTTATATTAGTGCAGAACACTGTACCTTTTAATTTAAATGCCCCTTGGAGTCTGCTGGGGAAGAGAAATAATACTGTCAGTCAGTAAGACATGCAGATGAGTGCCGTCCGATCTAGAATCCACCGCACACTTCACCACGTTCTCATTTGGGCAGTCCACGGGCCCAAAACCCAGAGTGGTGGAGCCACAGTGTGGCGGTGGAGGCAGCAAATGGGAGGCCATACAGCACCCTATGACAAAATGGAACCACCAGCAGTGGTGAGGAGACCTGAAAGTATGGCACATGGCAGAGTGTGGCGATGGAGACAGCAGCAATGGGAGGCCGTACAGGGACCCATGACACACTCCTCTGGAACCTGGCAGCAGCAATGAGGAGGCGGTACAAGTGGGCCCATGACAGATTACGGGCCTGGCAAGCAGCATGAGGAGTCGGTACGGGGCCCATGGCATGATTACGGGCCTGGCAGCAGCAATGGGAGGCCGTAACCGGGACCCATGACACAACTCATGGACCTGGCAGCAGCATGAGAAGGCGGTACAGGGGCCCCATGACAGATTACGGGGCCTGTCAACGCAGCATGAGGAGTCGGTACGGGGGCCCATGAGCAGATTACGGGCCTGGCAGCAGCAATGGTAGGCCCCGTAATCTGCCAGCACCCCTATGACAAAATGGAACCCACCAGCAGTGTGAGGAGGACCTGAAAGTGGCACATGGCAGAGTGTGGCGATGGAGTCAAAGACAGCAATGGGAGGCCGTACAGGGACCCATGACACACTCACCACTGGATGGACCTGGCAGCAGCATGAGGAGTTCGTACGGGGGGCCCATGGCAGATTACGGGCCTGGCAGCAGCAATGGGAAGCCCGTAAAATCCGCTGCCAGCACGACCCTATGGCACAAAAATGGAACCCACCAGCAGTGGTGAGGAGACCCTATGACAAAAGTGGCACACCAGCAACTGGGGAGACAGAGTGGACATGCGATGGAGACAGCAGCAATGGGAGGTCGTACAGGGAACCATGACACACTCTGGACCTGGCAGCACATGAGGAGGGCGGTAAGGTACAGGGGCCCATGACAGATTACGGGCCTGGCCAGCAGCAAGGAGCGGGGGGGGTGTCGGTACGGGGCCCATGGCAGATTACGGGCCTGCATGCAGCAAATGGAGAGCCCGTAATCTGCCAGCACCCTATGACACAAATGGAACCCACCAGCAGTGTGATTGGAGACCTGAAAGTGGGCACATGGCAGGAGTGTGGGCGATGGAGACAGCAGCAATGGGAGGTCCGTACAGGGACCCATGAATACACTCTGGACCCGTGCAGCAGCATGAGGAGGCGGTACAGGGGGCCCATGACAGATATACGGGCCGTGGCAGCAGCATGAGGAGTCGGTACGGGGCCCCATGGCAGAATTGAACGGGCCTGGCAGATGACTACGAGGCTGCCAAGTTGCGATCAGCCCATCATCATCAGCAATTAGGGTTCCTCCGGCCTCACTACTAGCCCCCTCGGCTGCGGTGTGTGGGTCAGGAGACAGACCTGTCTCTAGACCGGCTACCGAGCCACTCTCCTCGCCAGTAACTTATCTTTTCTTTACGCCTGGCTGCTGAAGAGGCGGATGTCTCCCCCCGTTCCTGACCGCCCTCTGTTAGCGCTTCTCCGTCACTGTAACAGTGGGCTGAGCCCACACGCAGCGATTATCTTCGCTTTGGTAGGGAACACCAAAGGACAGGGGCAGGTAGAGGACACGTGATTTCACTGGGCTTTTGCTTCCCGGCCATGCCAACTAACGGTTTATATGTACTGACCGTTGGCTGTAGGTGTCCAGAGGTGACCTGGGAAGAGGAAGACGATCCGAGCCAACCAAATCGATGACGGCAGGTTTGTCGGTGGCAGACACGACCGCTGATGACACCGGGAGCACTGGGCCTCAGGCCTGCGACTAGTGCTGCCGCGACCCCCTTCCTCTGGCTGCCACGTCTGCTCGCTCCTGAAACATTGCCTCCTCTGCCACTCCTCTGCGTGGTTGTCTGACATACTCTTTAATTCAACGATGCTGTGTCCCTGAGTAACGATTCTGTGTCCCTGAGTAACAATTCTGTGTCCCTGAGTAACAATTCTGTGTCCCTCAGTAACGATTCTGTGTCCCTCAGTAACGATGCTGTGTGTCCCCTGAGATAACAATTCTGGTGTCCCTGAGTAACAATTCTGTGTCCCTGAGTAATGATTCTGTGTCCCTCATTAACAATTCGGTGTCCCCCTGAGTAACTAATTCAGTGTCCCCTAGAGTAACATTCTGTGTCCCTCAGTAACAATTCTGTGTCCCTGATATCAATTCCTGTGTTCCCTGAGTAACAATTCTGTGTCGTGTCCCTGATGTAACAATTCCTGTTCCCTGAGTAACAATTCTGTGTCCCTGAGTAACGATTCTGTGTCCCTCCGTAACAATTCTGCTGTGTCCCCTGAGTAACAAAAATTTTTCTGTGTCCCTGATAACAATTCTGTAGTCTGTCCCTGAGTTAACAATTCTGTTGTCCCTTGAGATAACAATTCTCTGTGTCCCTGAGTAAACGATTCTGTGTCCCCCCTCAGTAAACGATTCTGTGTCCCATCAGTAACAATTTCTGTGTCCCTGATTAACAATTCTGTGTCCCCTGAGTAACAAATTTCTGTGTCTGTTCCCTGAGTAACAATTCTGTGTCCCTGAGTAACAATTCTGTGTCTGTCCCTGAGTAACAATTCTGTGTCCCTCAGTAACAATTCAGTTGACCCCGCAGTAACAATTCTGTGTCCCTGAGTAACATTTCTGTGTCCCTGAGTAACAATTCTGTGTCTGTTCCCTGATTAAAATGAATTCTGTGTCCCCTTGAAGTAACGATTCTGTGTCCCTGAGTAACGATTTTGTGTCCCTCAGTAACAATTCTGTGTCCCTGATAACAATTCTGTGTCCCTGAGTAACAATTCTGTGTCTGTCCCTGAGTAACAATTCTGTGTCCCTGAGTAACGATTCGTGTCCCCCTCAGTAACAATTTGTGTCCCTGAGTAAACAATTCTGTGTCCCTGAGGTAACAATTTCTGTGTCCTGTCCCCTGAGTAACAATTCTGTGTCCCTGAGTAACAATTCTGTGGGTCCCTGAGTAACAATTCTGTGTCCCCCTCGAGTAAACGATTCTGTGTCCCTTAAGTAACGATTCTGTGTCCCTAAGTAACGATTCTGTAGCCCTAAAGTCTCTTTTGTGGCCCTAACTCTGTCCCTAATACACAGATGGTCTGTCTCTCTTGGGAACGATTCTGTGTCCCTCAAGTAACAATTCTGTGTCCCTGAGTAACAATTCTGTGTCAGTCCCTGAGAGTAACGATTGTGTCCCCTGAGTAACAATTCTGTGTCCCTGAATAACGATTCTGTGTCCCTAAGTAACGATTCTGTGTCCCCTAAGTAACGATTCTGTGCGCCCTAAAGTCTCTGTGGCCCTAACTCGTGTCCCTAAGACACAGAGGTCTGGTCTCTTCCTTGGAATGACCGAGGCTAATGGGAGAATTCTAAATGGCCCGCAATTTATGTAGCTCCACCATTACACAGTCGCTGGCTGGGCTGGCTGCTGATTGGCTAATGCGATCACATGTCATGAATGAATGCATTATGGGTCAGCGCAGCCTTTGTCTGTTGCGCCTTCCCAGAGATCCCCGCTCCTCCGTCGCCAACACATGTCCCGCCTGCCATTTTTGGGAAACATTCGATTCTCATGCACCGAAGGTTTTGCTATTTTTCGGATTCGGCGCGAATTACTAATTTTCCTAATCCTTCGTAAACGAATTCCACTTCGGGCGCATGTTCCGATTCGCTCATCTCTAATCAGCACCATGGTTTTTCTCTCTAATGCAGTTGTCTAGAAAAACTGAAACTGAAAATAGTTGACGCTCACAAAGCTGGAGAAGGCTATTCCACTATAAAGAGAAACTTGTAAAAATATGGTCTTCATGGAAGAGTCATCAGAAGAAAACCTCTTCTACATCCTCACCACAAAAATCATCATTTGAACTTTGCAAATGAACATATAGACAAGCCTGATGCATTTTGGAAACAAGTTCTGTGGACCGATGAGGTTAAAATTGAACTTTTTGGCCGGAATGAGCAAAGGTACGTTTGGAGAAGAAGGGGCACAGAATTTAATGAAAAGAACCTCTGTCCAACTGTTAAGCATGGGGTTGGATCAATCATGCTTTGGGGTTGTGTTGCAGCCAGTGGCACAGGGAACATCTCACGAGTAGAAGGAAAAATGGATTCAATAAAATTTCAGCAAATTTTGGATGGTAACTTGATGCCATCTGTGAAAAAGCTGAAGTTAAAGAGAGGATGGCTTCTACAAATGGATAATGATCCTAAACACACCTCGAAATCCATGGGGGATTACATCAAGAGGCGTAAACTGAAGGTTTTGCCATGGCCTTCACAATCTCCTGACCTCAACATTATTGAAAATCTATGGATAGACCTTAAAAGAGCAGTGCGTGACAGACAGACCAGAAATCTCAAAGAACTGGAAGACTTTTGTAAGGAAGAATGGGCAAAGATACCTCAAACAAGAATTGAAAGACACTTGGCTACAAAAAGCATTTACAAGCTGTGATACTTGCCAAAGGGGGCAGTACAAGATATTAACTCTGCAGGGTGCCCAAACTTTTGCAGACGCCATTTTTTGGTTTTCGGTTATTTTGAAAGTGTAAATGATGGAAATAAAATCTAACTTTTGTTGACATATTATAAGAATGTCTAATCTGTAATTTGATGCCTTTTGGAGATTTTTCCATCTTTCCTTGGTTTCTTTATGCACATTAATACAAATTTTTAGCTGGGGTGCCCAAACTTTCGATCCCCACTGTACCTATAAATTTAGTGGCCAAAATGTCCAACGAATAGTACTCTAGTGAAGAGGTCTACAGGATTCTGAGCATGTCAGTTGACAGCGAAGGAGAAGCCTTACTAACAGAATCAGGCTCAGAATATGAACCTGTAGACAGCAGCAACACCATGACAGTCAGCTCAGACAATGGAGTAGAGGTCCCTGCTAAGGTCAGGCATACCCAACCCTGTTTCCAGGTTGCTGAGGTGGTACAATTGCATGATGACTCTCATATGCAGCAGAGTGCCAGTACTAGTGCCGCTCTACCGTTTGGTGAACTGGCGAGCACCAACAGCCTAGTACATCCTGGTCTTATACATACCAGCACTGCAGTATCACTTGGTGATGTGGTGAGTCCCATAAGTGCAGTACAAGCTGGTGCGGTGGCGTGCACAAGTATTGTCCCACAACCACCAAGAATTTGCACACAGGGCTGTAGAGCCCCTAGTATCCTTCCAGATGTGCTTGCAAATCCCGATTGGCAGCCCACAAATTCTGCAGCACCTGTACTTCTCCCATTCACTGTCCAACCCCGGAATGCAGGTGGAAACAGCAAATTTAACTACTCCCCTTGATTTTTTTGAGCTGTTTTTCACAGAATATCTGTATGCAATTTACATGCATAACAGTTTATCACCACCAA